GCCTGCCGGACATGTGGCTTCATTAGGGGAACAAGACCTTGAGGCCAGATTTCCTTATTTCTGGCCATTTGCCTGAAGGATACCGCTAATCTACAAGCGAGTAGAATTTCCATACGTTTGTGAATTGTTCATATGCCTGCGGGTTTTCCGCATGGATATGCGTTGGCCATATCCTTGCGGCGCGCGCCGTGAACGCTTCTACGGTTATGGATGGGCTCCGCAAGTATACAGACGGCATCCATATGCATGCAAGCTGGGATCCGCATTCGAACGGCTGGGTCACCTTACATATCCGTATATATATATATATATATGGATAGTTTCTTCACAGGTATGGCCGAAATCCTTATGCGTATGGAAGCATTCCCTGATGCCAAATCCTTCTTGCAGTGGGCTCACATGACTGCGTGCGATCGCGCTGCGGTCGCAAAAGCACGGGGGCGCGGTTCGAGGCCAGGGCTGGGAGTTGGACTGGGGCACAGGCCAAGGCCTTGAGCGCTGAGGACTAGGACGAAGATTTGAGAGTCGGGCTCGTTCTCCAGATCCCAACTGTGCGTAAACGGCGGGTCGGTTTACGCCATTCGCTCTCGGCCCCGCGCTTCGGCTCGCAGTTTCATTCTGATTGATTGATGTTTTCGCGGGGCGGGCGTAGTTTTCGGCCCCATGCGATGCGGGGGCCGATGCTCGAATGTCATGCCCCCCTGCTTGAGAAATCTGCGAACTCAAAGTGAATTGCACCATTATGGCGCGTTCATACTTACAGATGCAGTCATTACGCCACTACTACTAAGTATTACTTGTAGTTGTAGCAACGACTAGTCTGTCTTGCGCGCCTGGCGCCCCCGAGAGGGGCGGCGATCGCACTTGACGTCGCGCGCCGTGCGTCCCCGCAAGCAAGGGCCGGCGATCCAGTCAGATCTCACGCGTCGAAATGCCACCCGAAAGATGCATGTCGGTTACCGCGCACTTTATATATTTACACATATATAGATACAGAGAGAGAAAGAGGGAGATAGAGAGAGAGAGAGAAACAAAGAGAAAGAGAGAGAGAGAGAGAAAAAAAAGAGATAGAGAGAGAAAGAGAGAAAGAGAGAGAGAGAGAGATAAAGAAAAAAAAGAGAGAAGAGAGAGAGAGAGAGAGAGAGAGCGAGAGAGAGAGATATAATGATAAAGAGAAAGAGAGATAGAGAGAGAGAGAGAGAGATGAAGAGAGAGAGAGAGAGAGAGAGAGAGAAAGATAGGGAGAGGAGAGAGAGAGAGAGAGAGAGAGAGAGAGAAAGAAAACAAAAAAAAACAAAAGAAACAAATGGTGGCCGGAATCTTCCTCACTCGCCTGGTGGCCCCGCGTGGCGGGGTCGGCGACGAGCAGATTTAGGGGGTGCTGGCGATCAAAGTATGGGCCTCGGCGATCCCGCGGGCGCGAGCATGGGCGATCCACTTTCATTTCGGCGCGCCCCTCGAAAGTTTCGCGGCCCCACAGGGAGCTCCGCCCACAGACCAGCGGCTTCTGAGAAGCACCCCTCACAGGGTTCGTGGCCCCACAGGGGTCGTCGCCTCGACAGCGGGGGCCGCGCGCGTCACCGCCTCGCCGCAGGTCCAGCGGGGGGGGCGAGTTGAGGACCGGTGCGGCGAGCTCGCCGACGCGATTGCGCATTGCGTTTCGCCCGCGTTGTAGCTGGCGCGGCCCATCGCGCTCGAGGCATCCACGACTGAATCTTCTTGAAGGCGTGGCGCAGAGGAGGCCCAAAGCGAAGGCAGCGACGGAATGCGCGCAGAAACGATTAGGCCCTCGACGCGGGGGGGGGGGGGGCAGGAGGGGGAGAGGGCGTCGAGGGACCTGGCTTCAGTTCCTTCGGCCCCACCTCCTAATCCTGCTCTCCGCTCGTCTTCGCACCCCCCTGCCTGCTCCGCATGGAGATGGGGGAGAGGGGGGGGGGGGATAAGAGGACGAGCTATGTTTCTTTAGCGCAGTCAAGCGCCAAAAAATGCAGCTCGCCCTCAAACTCGCCGCAGGTGCTCGAACGGGCCCCGCATTTCAGGCCCGCTCGCGCAACTGCAGCAACATCTCAGCAGGAAGAGGCGAGGTTGCCCCTGCGGGCGCCCCGTCGTTTCTGCCCATTTCCGTCGCTGCATGATGCCGATCCGCTGCCGGGGGCCAGCGCCGACCCTGTCGTTGACGCGATCACTGGGCATCACGGGAAACACGGCCGCCTTGATTTTGGACGCTACGAGAAGAAGGATGGGCCCTTTGCGCACGAACTCCTCTTTTTCCAAAACTTGTTGATGTCGATGTTGGAGAAGTGCCCATCAGGCGCGTGGGCTGGGCAGTCGTTCAAAGACCTGTTCCTGAAGGCGTTCGACCATGAACCAACATTGAACCCATGGGTCAAAGAGAAGGGCTGAAGCCTCGTTGATTCTGCAGAGGAGGCGCCTAGGATCTGCAAGAACATGGCCATGTCTGCGCGTCGCCTGGCGCTCTACCCCAAGAAGTCCAAGAAGCACTTCGAGAGCGTTGGCAAGGAGGGGCTGGAGAAGATGAACGAGCTCATCAACAGTGCCGCGCGCGACGGGTCCGAGGTCGAAGTTGCCCAGGCCGCCGCCGCGGTGCCGCCGTCGCCTGTCTCTGTTCGGCCCGCTTCGTCCGAGCCGCGGCCTTCGCTCGACATCGAGGCGGGCGGCGCGGACGATGCCCTTCCAGAGGTCCCGGCTCCAACAGAGGCCTCAGAGGTCCCGGCTCCAGCAGATGCCCCAGAGGCCCCGACTCCAGCAGGCCACGGCGCGCCGCCCAGTGATCGCCGCCCCGCGCTTGCCGGGCGCGGCAACCAGACTTCCAGAGGCAAGGAGGGCGACGCGCCTGCAACGCCTGACCCCAAGAGTTTCAAGTTGCCCGAGGGATGGAGCACCCGGGAGCGTTGGCGTCAATCAGGCGAGTCCAAGGGGAAATCTGACACGTACTACCTCAGCCCTGACTGCGATGAGTTTCGGAGCATGGCGAAGGTGAAGGAGCTTTTGGAGCCCGAGAAAAAAGCGCCGTAAGGAGAGGGGCAAACAGGCCTACGTGAATGATGATTGCTGGGGGCCATGCCAATTTTCGCACGCCGCCAGATCTTATCTGGGGGGGGGGGGGGCGCGGCGGGGTGAGACGGGGGGCGGGTGCATTGAGGGATGGATTTCTTTGGTGGGGTGGCAGTTCGATTTGCCAGCAGCGCGTGCCCGACTTTTGCAGCGTGCGCCCGCGCGTTGCCGTGCGTTGCAGTCTTGCGCACCAATTCACACCTCCCTCGTCTTCCACTCTGGGCCTCTGTTGAGCTTCGCCCCTCTGCCGCCTCCTCCGCGGAACTGGGTTGCCCATCCGGCCCGCCCTCGGTTTTCCATTTTACAAACGTAGTGCGAAATTGTAGGTTTCTGTGGCGGAGCCCTGTTCCCTGCTGCGTGGCCGCGTTGTTTTTTTTTGCGCGTTTTCGCTTCGGGGTCTCAAGCTGTTCGTTTGTTTGACTTCGGGGGTGGGCGGGGCGGGCAGCCCGTGATTCCGTGGGCGGGCGCGGGGGCGGCGCATGCAGCAAGGTCGCTATCGATGTTGTTGACGCCGTGCCGCTGTCTCTCGCCGTGCGCCACATTTGGCTGTCTCGCTTCCATTCGTGATGCGAGTATATTCGATGCAATTGGCTTCAGTTTACGCCCGTCTCCAGAAGTGTTACTCCCAACCAGTTGCCGCACGTGTCAATGGACTTATGCTGATTACATATAGCCTTGCACCTTATTCTTATTCCGCATCCTCGGTAAAACGAGCACCAATAACATTAACGCAAGCACAGTAGCCAAAATAAGCCCACTAACTAGCACCATCCTCGAAGTAACTAGAACGAATCTTTATAACCAGTATCCCTGTAACCAAAAACACAACAACGATAATCAATACTTATAGCCATAAACTATGACCAGGCCCCAACAGGCCTGCGGCCGGAGGAGAATAAGAAAAGGGATACACAACACCAAAACACAACATTATCCCGGCGAAGGACCCAACCATAAGCAATTGTTTGTAACGCGTTGTGGGTGCCGCTTTCGGTGGAGCTCCCTATGGGGCCACGAAGCGCTGCCTTGGGCATTGGAACCGCATGCGAACTGCGCCACTCGGGCGGGCCTTCGGTGGAGCTCACTATGGGGCCACGAAGCGCTGCCCTGGGCGGGGGAACCGCATGCGAACTGCGCCACTGGAGCCTTCGGTGGAGCTCTCCATGGAGCCACGAAGCGCCGCCCTGGGTGGGGGAACCGCATGCGAACTGCGCCACGGGGCCTTCGGTGGAGTTCCTATGGGGCCACGAAGCGCTGCCCTGGGCGGGGGAACCGCATGCGAACTGCGCCACTGGGGCCTTCGGTGGAGCTCTCCATGGAGCCACGAAACGCTGCCCTGGGTATGGGAAACGCATGCGAACTGCGCCACTGGGGCCTTCGGTGGAGCTCCCTATGGGGCCACGAAGCGCTGCCCTGTGCATGGGAAACGCATGCGAACTGCGCCACTGGGGCCTCCGGTGGAGCCTCCTATAAGGCCACGAAACGCTGCCCTGGGTGGGGGAACCGCACGCGAACTGCGCCACTGGGGCCTTCGGTGGAGCCTCCTATAAGGCCACGAAACGCTTCCCTGGGTGGGGGAACCGCACGCGAACTGCGCCATTGGGGCCTTCGGTGAAGCTCCCTGTGGGGCAACGAAACGCATGAGAGGTGTGCCGAGAGCAGAGGCAAGGAGGGGGGGAGGGGGGGGGAGGAGGTGGAAGGAAGGTGGGATGCGGGGCGCTGTCTCTTCAAAACAAGGACCCAACGCCACAGGATGGTTGGGGACACAATGACAACATCAACAGCGAACACAACAACACCAACAACTACAGCGACAACAGAAACATCACCAACAACGACAGCAACACCACCATAAACAACGGTCGTCGCCATTTGCGGCTCAAAATGTTTCATGCAACCTGTGGTGTCTGTGTTTCGGTCCAGCATTTCGCGTATTCAGTGTCCCCGCGTAGGCCCATGGGGCTCAGACTGAATTTGGCAAGAGGTAAGCCTGCTATCAACAAATCGCCAGCACCTACGAAGGCGACTGGAGTCGGCCCAGCTTTGCGCAAGCCAGCCGCCCACGATGACGAAGCTCAATCCGGGTCCAACCTGAAGGCGATTATGAATAAGCCGTGGGCCGACATGAGCAAGGCAGAGCAGGGCGGCGCGATCCGGCAGATGCGCAACCCGACCGCGGGGTGTTACAGGAGTTCCACAACAACATGGTGGTCGATGAGGATGTGCCCGATTGGTTCGAGACCCAGTGCAGGGGGGGGGACATGAGCAAACGCCACAAGAAGGGCGCAGACACTGGCGAGCAGAAGAAGATATCAGGGCTATGCGAGCTCTGGTTCTTGGCAACTCGTGACAAGAAGACGGGCAATATCAAGAAGGTCGCGGATTGGGGCAGCGGGTGGATCTGCAAGAGCGCCTACACCATCAAGGAGACCGCTCACACAGAGAGGGGGAGCTCCTACACCTGGGGCCAGATCATCGGCATGCACTTCGGGGAGAAGAACGCGAAGAAGGCCTTGAACAAGGGCGGCGCGGTCTGCGCGACGGTCGCGGGCGCCGACGGGAAGCAGCACAAGCGTTTCAAACTTACGACGTACCAAGGACTTAGTTGGAACCAAATCAGCGCTGGGGAGAAAACAAAAAGAAAAACAACGACGGACTTCCAGGACGGCCCACGAGACCCACCCCTCCCTTGGACTGCCCAGAAGCTCCGCGGGACCACCGTATCTAGCATCGGATGTCGGGTTGTTTATATTGCATGTGCAGTTTTGCGTTTTGTATGAGATGTTCAAGAAAAGCTGCCACCTACATGTTCGCCAGATGTTCTTGCTTTTCCTCAAGAAGAGTTGAAACATCTGGAATCAAGTTAGGTCTGTAGATTTTTACTTTACGGAGCGTATACTTCTCTTACAGTCAAGTCTGTCATTCTTGAAAACGTAGGTGGTCTGTTTTCTGGAAAATCGAATGGCAATCGCAGTCGCAGATCTGATTCCAATTGCCCTGAAGCTATGGGCGGCACCGAGCGCGGCAGGACCGAGAAGGTTGGCTCGGATCCGCAGTGCTTGACGCTTTCTGACATCGGGCGTGCAGCTGCGCTCGTGACAGGCTCGGGGCGCGGCTTCGGAGTGAGCGACGACGGCGAGGACAGCGACGAGCGGGGCGGCTTGAAGCCCGGCGAAGGCCCCGACGCGGACAAGCCAGATGATGATGACGAAGATAGAGACGCACCACAGCCGTCCTAAGCGCAGGGGCAGCCGTGTCTCCGTGATCAAGAACGACCCCGGCGTGGCGTGACCAAGATAGTTCAGAAGAAAATGACGTGACGTGACGTGACGCGCTGGCTGACAAGAGCAACTCCGACTACGCCACGCTGGAGAAGAAGCTGAAGGGCGCTCCGTCTACAGTCACCGAGGCGATTTCGCACTTCGAGGATACGATGATCAAGCCAGCAGAGTGATGGAATAATGCAGGTTTGAAGGAGATCAAGCAGGATGTGAGCCGCCTCACCAAGGACATCAACACGTACCTCAAGGTCGTTTCCTCCCTCATCTAGGGATTGTTTGCGCTGCCGTCGAAAAAGGTGTGTTGTGATGGGATCTCGGTGATTGCATCGTCCTGTGCAGTTGCGTGTTTCACGCATCGTCTTGCGCAGTTGCGCGTCTCAACTGCTGGTCACATCGAGACGATGGGCTCGACCATCTGTCCAAACGTCACCCCTCCTCCACCTTCCTGGCACTACCAGCTCTGCCCTGCGTGTTTCCACAAATCCCCAGCCCCTTCAGCCTCCTCGGGCTTACCATCGAAGCCCAAACAATGTGCCCGACCTCGCCGCGGCATGACTGCGCCCCTACAGGGGCTGGGGGCGATGCGGGTGCAGATGGGGACGTGTATGTGATGTGGTGTGTGTGCGCACGCACGTGTATCCCACAGGCTACAGCCAGTCTGCCAGGGTGATCTAAAACCGTTGGGGGTAAACCGTAGTCTAGCAAGGTCGGGCGTTGTAAAAATTAATGTACTACCGGCGGCCGCCATTCCGCCAGAGTAGAGTAGGGTAAACAAACATAATATATTAGACTGCCGCCACTCCCAGGGTAAAACGCAATGGAATGTGAGAGCGCAGGTACTGTAAGAAACGACGCGGCCCAGCACAGTCGGGCTCGATGGAGGCAGAGGACGTAGAAACTCGCGGGCCGACCGACGATGGGGGGGGGCTTCCGCCATCCCGCCAAGATAGCGAGCGTCACAGAAGAGTTCGCAAAATCATGCCATTGCGTAACATGGCATTGTGGTGCACACAGGCACTGTTGTCTAGACAGGTGCTGCGGTGTACACAAGCAGTTGGTGCACGGAGGCGTCGTGGCGCACGCTGGACAGGCGCTGTGGTGTAGAATCGGCCTTGATAAAAATAGCGTTTGTCGGCCTGGTGCCACCTTCAGCGTCGCCCTCGTTGTTGCGATTACATAGCCGTTTTGGCCATGCTTCATTCCGTTGCAAGGCGTCTGGGGCACGTTTGCAAGACACTGACTCTTCTCACGTTTGATTTGCGAAATGCTTGGTCATGTTCAGCGCTCTGCTGCCAGGGGGTGACATTGAGATAGGGATGGCGCGTTGGCGGATTTTCTCCTTGAGCAGCTCGCCTGGGGGTTTGGGAGTGCGAGATCACGTGGACCTCGATACTGGTGGATCTCAGAGCCCTTCACCGTTGTGCGCACTTGCAGGGTCCGGGACCACATGTAGACATCCCCGACATTGCTTGCAACAGTGGTTACGGACCATTGAGAACCAGTGCCCTGGGGCGCCAACCCCAGTTGAATTCAAGCTCCCACAGAATATGTTGAAGCGCAGAATCGGTGTCTTCCCGTTGCTTCATCCACGCGCCCTATATATCGGCTCTGTGCAATTGGTTTTCATACTTGTACCGCAATTTGAACGAGCGTTGGAAAAGTAGATCCGTGGGGGACGGTGACCACCCACATCCCTGCTCATCTCTGCGCCGCTGGTGGTCGACGATATCAGACCTCGGCCGCCCGCGGAAGAGTGACATCACGGAGGTGTTTCCTCGGTCAGGGTTCACATGTTACCGATTATGATCTATGGGGGCACGCAGTGCCGATATCATTGCATAGTGACGCTGTGCCAGTCAGCCCGATGTCATTCGACTGCATGTCGTGGTCTGGTTTTTAAGGCGATTATTTGTGCACAACAGATTTCAAGTTTCTGAGTTCTGGCTTTCTTGATCGCTGCAAAGCGCCAGATACGACAAGCACGATCATGGCGATCATTGCGTGGCCCCTCGCATCGCTCATGGGCGGCACGTACCCCACCACCGATTGGAGTGGCGACCGCTGGCCCGACGGATGTGTGGAAGCCGCCCACGGTGGCCTCCCATTCGCCTTTTGGTCTGCGTGTCCGCGCCCTTGGCGCATCGTGGGCGACGCGGAGCGGTTGGCATCTTCGCTCGGCCTGGCCAGCCCTTCGGGCCTGCTAGTCTGTCCGCGGTGCCGCCCAGACGCGCCCGCAGACCCCGACGACCTCGGGGCGGCCCCTCCGGGGGGCCGGGGCGCGGCAGGAGAGGAGGGGGGGGGGGGGGGGGAGAAGATGCTGCTTTTGGTCTGCGTGTCCGCGCCTTGGCGCATCACGGGCGACGCGGAGCGGTTGGCATCTTCGCTCGGCCTGGCCAGCCCTTTCGGGCCTGCCATGTCTGGCCGCGGTGCCGCCCAGACGCGCCCGCAGACCCCGACGACCTCGGGGCGGCCCCTCTCCGGGGGGCCGGGGCGCGGCAGGAGAGAGAGGGGGGGGGGGGGGTGGAGAAGATGCCGCAGAGGGAGACTTTGGAGGGGGCGAGAATTAGGAGGGGGGGGGGGAGAGAGGGGGGGGGGGGAGAGGGGGGGGGGCGAGAAGTATGGAGGGGGGTACCCCCCCCTCGCCCTTCTTTCGGGAGAGAGAAAAAAAGTACGGACACGTGTCGTCCCCCCTTCGTTCTCGGCCTCTCCTGGCCCTCCTGGGGAATCCTCGTGGTCGCCGCTGGACTCGCCTCGAGATTCTGGTCAGAACGCACCCCAGGAGAGGTCCGGGGACAACACGTATCCGTATCTTTCCGCCCCCCAATTCTTGCCGTGGAGATGAGGGGCAGGAACTGGGGGGAATGGCCGCCAGGCTCAGGGGGTCCACCGAGTGGCAGGTGATCGCCCCGAGCCTCTCGGGCCCCTCCTCGCCCCCCGAGCCTCTCGGGCCCCTCCCCATCCACCGTTCGCAACAGGAGAACAAAAACAACAAGAACAAAAAGGTCGCCCCATGGAACGACACTACAATGACCGCTCAACGGCGCAATACGGCGTGGCAGAATCATACAGAATGGCTTGATTGGCATGGGGGCGTTCGGAACGTGCGCCCGTTTTCCAGTCTCCCAGCGACGTCTATCTGCAATGTGTTTGGCGACCCCATGCACGCTATTGACCTTGGGTTGCTCCGCCACGTAATCGGAAACGCGTTGCGGCTGCTGCGCTATACTGCCGCGCATTTCCCTGGCGACCGTGGCTCCGCGGCGAGGCGCGACGAGGCGTGGGGGGGGGTCTCGAGACAGTGCAGCTCGAAGGGCACCGAAGTGCAGCTGTCAAATTTGAACGCGAGCTGGTTTACAGAAGTGAAAAGGCCGCACATGCACATGCTTTCCGGAAAACGCCATGCGCCGTGGCAGCGACCATGGCGGCATTGTTCGTAGAGTTCTGGAAGGCGCGACTGCGTTTTGTGATTGTTCGAACGACGTCGGCTGGAACCTTGCCACGAAAGCTCTCGCGCCGCATTCTGTGGGGAGTTGTTCGAGTGAGGACCAGGAGTTAAGCAAGAGGGCAATCGACAGAAATGTTCGGCAATGGCGAGAGGCCCCCAAACACCATTACGCGCAGCACGTGCGCTTGCAATGTGAACATGGTAATCCCGGCACGCGGTGGTTCTACGCGGACGAGGAATCCACGGGGATCATGAAGCTCATTGTCCAGCGCTCCTTTGTTGGAGCCGTGGCCCAAAAGGTGGTTGCGAAAGCCGTGGCGAGGTGGATGTGCGGCATGGCTCTTCGGCTGGTCTGTCAAAGCCAGCGCAGTTAGCTTGCGCGTGTGAAAGTTGATTTATGCAAGCAACCCAACGACAAAAATGATGGTTGTAGTCGCGGTAGTAAGGGTTGGAGCCGTAGTAGTAGTAGTAGTAGTAGTAGTAGTAGTAGTAGTAGTAGTAGTAGTAGTAGTAGTAGTAGTATTAGTAGTAGTAGTAGTAGTAGTAGTAGTAGTAGTAGTAGTTGTAGCAGTAGCAGTAGCAGTAGTAGTAGTAGTCGTAGTAGTAGTAGTAGTAGTAGTAGTAGGAGGAGGAGGAGGAGGAGGAGGAGGAGGAGGAGGAGTAGTAGTACTAGCAGCAGTAGTAGCACGATTACACATATTAGTATTTGTAGTCGTAGTAGTCGTAGTAGTAGTAGTAGTAGTAGTAGTAGTAGTAGTAGTAGTAGTAGTAGTAGTAGTAGTAGTAGTAGTAGTTGTAGTAGTTGTAGTAGTTGTAGTAGTAGTAGTAGTAGTAGTAGTAGTAGTAGTAGTAGTAGTAGTAGTAGTAGTTGCAGTAATAGTAGTTGTCGTATTAGTAGTAGTAGTAGTAGTAGTCGTAGTAGTAGTAGTGGTAGTAGTAGTAGTAGTAGTAGTAGTATGGTGGTATGGTAGTAGTAGTAGTAGTAGTAGTAGTAGTAGTAGTAGTAGTAGTAGTAGTAGTAGTTGTTCCAGTACATAATCGTAGTAATCGTATTAAAAATTATAATAGTAATCAGAATAATGATACTAGTAATAGCGGTAGAGTAATAGCGGTAGTAGTGGTAGCAGTAAGAGGAAGGGGAGGAGGAGGTAAAAGGGGCAGGGGGGCGGGGGAAGAGGGCGCGCCCGCGCCCGCGCGGGGGCGACAGTTTCGTGGCAGGCGCGCCCGCTAGCCCGCGGCCGCGGGGCGGGCTTGGGTTGACCCTCCTCCTCCCCCTCCCCCCTCCCCCCCCCCCCCCCCCTCCTCTTCCCCCTCCTCCTCCCCCCCCCCCCTCCCCCACCCCCCGGCTCCCGGCCCACCTTCTTGCTTTGTTGCGTAGCCATTTGGCTCGAGCTTGGGCGCGCCGCCCGCCGTGGGTGCGGCGGTCCGCGCGCATATGGTTAGAATCCACGTGGCCACGGCTAAGTTCCATAGCCACGTGGACATAAGCCTTGAAGATGCAAGCGGCGCCCCCACGCACGCGGGCAACCTCCGCGTGCTTGGCTGCCAAAATCTCGCAACCATGCGCGCGTGGATTTGCGATGTCCTTAAGGATTTCCGCGCAGGTATGGCCCGGCCATGCGCCCGCGGGAATTTTGCCATGGATAAGGCTTGGCCATGTCCACGTGGGATTCCGCGAGAAATAAGGATTCCGGGCCTCGGGGGAAGTGAAGCGAACGTGCAAGTTCGGAGGTCGCGCGGATTTCTCGGGCCGGCGCGGGGCCTTCTCCTTGGCGCGCGGAGCGCGCCAGGGGCGGCGCCGGAGGCGCCGCTGGAGGGCCCCGGCGCCGATCCGAGGAATTTGCGCGGGCGTTAGAGTTTGTATGTTAATGTTTTTTTTTTTGTTTCCCTATTCACGTTATATCGCGCGCGCTGCGTCTGGCCCGAGAAAGCGGCCGCTGACCCCTGCGGCGGGCTTCCGAGGGACGGGGGCGGGGGCGCCAGCCTCTGGCGACAGCGCCGGTGCTCCGAGCCGGGCCCGCGGCGGCCTGGGCGGGCCCTGTCCAGAGTCGGGCGCGCCCCCGGGGGCGGTTTGTCGTTTATTTTTTTGCCAGTGTTTGAATATTTGTCGATTATATTTTGATTTGTTGTCCGCAATCCGCATGTGGGGGGGGGGCGTGGCCGCCCTGGGCCCAGTCTCGGGGACCTCGAAGCGGAAGTGTCAGGCTGAGTTCGCGGTGCCCGAGATTTCCTGCCGTTTCTGCTGCTGCCCGCGTCTGGCAGCTGGCCATCTGGTCAACTGCCCCCGCGCGGCAGCTGCCCCGGAAAGGTGGCCCGAGGCGAATGCATTCGACGGGGCGGCGGCGGCTGGGGGACGGGGGGGGGGGCGTGAAAAGGGGGGGCGGCGGATGGGGGGGGGGCGTGCTCGGGGTTTGCGCGGGGGGCTTTACTTCGGGATTGTGGTGGGTTGGGGGTTTGTGCCGGTGGTCGTGCTGCAGGCCTGTTGTTGCGCGCGCCGAGGGGTCGTGCCCCCCCCCATTTTTATATATATATATATATATATATATTAATACCACTTCCGCCCCCCCTCTTTCCGCTCTTTGGGAAGGTGCGCCAGGGGGTTGCACTGGGAAGTCGTGTTGGCGGGTTGCGGCGGGGGTTGCGATGGGGGCGCGTGCGCGGGCGTTGTGCTGCAGCTGCTTGGGGTTGTGCTTGGTGCTTCGTGCTGTCGCGCCCCCTGCTTTCTGTCGCCTCGTCGTTGTATTGTTCTATGTTCCCCCCCGCGCTGCAAGAACTCAGCATCTAAATCAGTGTGGAGATGAGTTTGTTGTTTTTTTCCAACTCAGCACATTCTCGAACTCATTTTATCATGGCCATCAATTTCCGCAACTTCGTTTCTGACCACGACGGCCCCCATAGCTACTTGACGCGCGCGTGCGCTTGCAGGCCGCGCGTCTTCCACCCCCCCTGCAGCATTTCTACAACTTATCTACGCAACACCACGACGCGCGAACCAGCGCGCCACTTAACATTTTATATGGCAAGCGCAATGCAGGATCTCAGCTTGATGGGGGCTCCACTCTTGATGAAAGGCCAAAGGTGCGAGTGCGGTCGCTGCCGCCTGCTGCGTCGCCTGCGTGGACGGGGGCGGCGGCGGCGGCGGAAACATGCGACGCCTCCGTGCCTGGGGGCCCGAGCAGCAAGCTCGCGTGCCCTGTCTGCGCTGGGCGCGGTGGCAATGATCTGGTCAGTGGCGAACTCCGACCTCGACGAGTTCCGCTGGGCGGCATGCGTCTTGTCTCGCTTGACCGGCATGGCTCGCGAGTGCGCGGGCGAGCGGATGCTGGGCGTTTTCGTCCAGGGTGGCCATGTCGACTGCAAGCCAGTGCCATGCATGCCCCGCCCCGCGCGCGCCCCGACCGAACGGCGGGGCCTGCTTGGAGGGGGGGGCGCGCCTGGGCGGCGTCCGCCCTCGCGGATTTCAGCCGACTGCCGCAGGGGCGCATCGCCTCCTCATCGGGCCTGACATCCTCTGCAACAGGGCGCAGCAGGCCAGCCAACGCGCGATCGGCCACGAGTGTCTGAGCTATCATGCTGCGCGCGGTGGTCGACTACACGTAAGAGCGACCCTTCGCCGGAGTGACCTTTGGCGCGGGCCAATTGGGGCCCCCGATCGCCGAACGCCAGGCGGCAGTGGCGTCTTGCGCGCTTGCGTTTGGCCCCCCCTCCCCCCCCCCGCGGCCCCCAAAATGCCGCGCGCCAAAGGTCACTCTTACCCAGGGTCACTCTTACGTGTAGCCGAGGTGGGCGCGTCGAACATCCAGCTCGCCGTGACCCTGCAGCATGGCAACATGTCCTGCCCGACGGACGCACTGCAGCTGGCACGCATGACGGCCGCAGTCGGCCATCTGGCGGCCCCCATCGAAGCCCGAGCGACGCCCGCCAAGTACACGTGGACGTCGCCGAGGTCGACGCCCAAAGTCTCATCGGCGAGCAATGGAAGGACGCTCGCATCATTCAGTGCGTCTTGGGTGACGAACGGCCGTTTGCAGCCGACCCCGGGCAGGGCCAAAACGGTGCTCTCGATGATTGCGTCTCCGGCGCCCCCGAAGAAGCCTCCAGCATCGCCGAACTTGGTTCACCATCAGCCCTGTCGGTGATTCCCGAATAGGCCGACAGCGACTCTCTGGCCACGTCCAGCAGGTGGCGATGGCAGCTCGGCAGGAGGTCGAGGGCGCCGAGGATCTGACCCAGGAGCTACAGGAGCTAAAGGGGCTCGACAGCCAGCAACTGGCCCACGCTGCTGTCGGGCACGCGGCTGCCAGCATGGGCCGCAGACCACGCGAGCGCCCCCAGCACCTGGGGACTCAGCGCCAGCGTCAGCAGATCCACGCGCAGGTTCACTACTACTTGCTCGGCGCCGCCTTGTACGACTACGCCATGCTTGGAGGTGGCCGAGCGAGGAAAACACGCGGATTTGCATTTTGATCCAGCAGCGCGCGGAACATTCCTTAGTTGCCACGAGGGCAACTGCGTTGCCAGCGGTCACACCACAGCTGTGCTGAAGCTCCACGCCGCCGCCAAGTCCGCGGCGATCAAGTGCGACGACGATCTCCTCAGCAAGGAAGAGGTGTCGCGGTTGACCACGGAGGTGGCCGCCGCCATCTTCGCGGAGCTCACCATCTGGGTCAAGTACAAGTGTTCAGAGAGTCTTCCGACATTCTCCAGGGCGGAGGAACGGGCGCCCCATGGGCGGCTTGCCGACCAGGCTGGGCGCGCGTCGCCGTGGACGTGGACAGGGCGCCCCTGTAATTCATGACCAAGTCCGAGATGCAGGAGAAGGGCGAAGCACCCGGGAAGGTCAATTCAATTTTGTAGCCCGGCAGCGCGGCCATCCCCAGGCAGGTCCCGGGCCGCGGGTCCTTCGACGAGTGGGCCGACTGCTGGCGCTGCGCCGAGCTGGGTGCGGGCGGCAAGGATGCGCCCAGAGCTGTTTTCATGGCGCTCGCCCGCGACGCGCGCTCAGTTGAGCGCAGCGCCAAGCCATCGCGGTGGGGCCCGGAGCTCGAGGTCAAGCGCAAGGCGTTCGGCACTTCTGGTGCCAACGTTTTTTGGGTTAGTGTTCATGCTGTCCAAGCGCGTTGGCGATCTTCGAATGGCTGGGCGCAAGGGGTCCACCGTCTCAACGGCCACATCGGGGGCGTCCTCGGCAAGATGATGCGGGGCTGCGGCGGCTGCGCCAACTGCGGCGCCCGCCAACGCTGTGGCGCGGCGCTCGGCCAGGGCGAGTGCATCGACGCGCTCGTCGTCGTCTGGCACGTCGACCAGGTCGCGTCGGAGGCCGACGAGCGGGCCGAAGGTCCACTGCCGGACTGTTTTGTGTCCTTCCTCGGAGCAGCTGCCTACGCGCTGCTCGCGCGACGCCACGTTGCCGCCCGCGTCGTCGCGCTGCAGAGGGCCAAGAACAATTTGCTCATCAGGCACGTCGAGGAGCGGGAGAACGAGGCGCGCAGCGTCTACCTGGCGATGGAGCGCGCGAGCCAGATTTGCGCGTGCAGCGCTCGTTCAAGCTTGAAGGGGAGACAGGATGCGGTGCGGGGGGCGCCGCGTGAATGCGCCTGGGGCAGCGTGAACAGATCTGCCACTTGCTCGACACCTCGGGTCGATAACAGCTGCTGCTCGCAGCATTTGAAGCAGCAGACGGGCTGCAGGCGCACTTCCTCGCGCTTCGCGCGATGGCACGAGGGCCCGCCTCAGCTGGTCGTAGACGGCGCGTCCGTCTTCTCGGCCTTGGCCATGGACCGCTCGCGCCCGTCATTAGGAAACAGCGCGGCATGCCGACAGCGGTGGCTAGCGGACCAGCTTCGTATCGGGCAGCTGTTTGACATGCTGCGGTGCAACGCCCGCGACATACGAGCGGACCCCATGACGAAAGGGAGCATTGCCAGAGAGCTCATCCTCGACGTCATGGCGGGTCGATTTGTTTACGTCCATATCACAGCGAGGCTCAGCGAGGAGCAAGCTCACCAAGGACAGCAAGGACGGGTGACCATATTGCGTACCTGGTGAACTATGTCGCGAAGCGAAACAGTATGCCACTCCGCAGAAGGCGAGATCGTAAGCCACGCTGAGAAGAATTCGCTCTCTTGAACTGCGCTCGAGAAGCAGATGCTGGTTGAGAGGCCGTTTGCCCTGTCATTCGACAGTTGCTAGTGCTAGAGGGGTTGGTTGGCTTGTTTTGTTCAGTTTCATGGCTTGCCACGGGCGTTGTAAAAAAAAGGTGTTTGCGGCTGTCGCCGTGGGGGCCCAAAGCGCCCTGACTTGGAACGAAGATCATCAAGTACGTGACCTTCCGAAGCTGGTTAGTCCGCCTTGTCCTATGGGCGCTTCCCTGTGAAGAATTTGGTCAGTAGAAGGTTCTCTCACCCTGTACCACTTTCGTTCATCTGGGGTGAGAGTTTGGTGGTTTGGCCAACGAGGCACAGCGGACCCGTTTGAGCACCAGCCTCCAGCGGTAGGTTACTGGTTAGTAGCAGGGTCGTCAGCATGCTTGTAACATAGCAGGAAGCAGGGGTGGGCCATGGGCGTTCGGCCCAAGCAAGGCCGGGCTCCGCGCCCGCTTTACATCGCTGTACACGTTCCGCTTTACGGACAACAGAAATATGTCATCACTGTTTTACTTTCTATAGTGCCCCTCCCTCCCCCCCCGCCCGCCGCAGGCGTTGCAGCGCGGGGCCTGGGGCGAGCTCTGGCGCCCCGCCGCCCCGGCCGCCCGTGCTGGGCTCCCCGCCGCTGCCGCGGAGGAGGCGCCGGCGCCACAGTCGCCGCCTCTCGCGGCCGGCGGCGGCGGCGGCGCCGACGACGCCCGCCGGGCACCGTCGTCGATATCCCAGACATGTTCGAGGAGGATCGAAAACAGGAGCAGGAACAGGTGGAGGTTGAGGAGGAGGAGGACGAGGAGGAGGAGGAGGAGGAGGAACATCGAGGAGGAGGAGGAGGAGGAGGAGGAGGAGGAGGAATAGGAGGAAGATGGCCGATGAGGAGGATGAAAAGGAGGAGGGGGAGGTGGATCAAGGAGGGCGACGAGCATCGAGAGGGGGAGGATGATGATAAAGATTGAGGGGGAAGGATGAGGAGGAAGAGGGAATGAAGAGGAGGAGGGGAGGAGGAGGAGGAGGAGGAGGAGGAGGAGGAGGAGGAGGAGGAGGAGTTGGAGGGAGAGGAGGAGGAGTTGGAGGGAGAGGAGGAGGAGGAGGAGGAGGAGAGGAGGAGGAGGAGGAGGAGGAGGAGGGAGGAGGAAGGAGGAGGAGAGGAGGAGGAGGAGGCGGAGGCGGAGGCGGAGGAGGAGGAGGAGGAGGAGGAGGAGGAGGAGGAGGACGAGGAGGAGGAGGAGGAGGAGGACGAAGAAGAAGAAGACGAAGAAGAAGAAAAATAATAATAATAAGAAGAATAATAATAAGAAGAAGAAGGATAATAATAAGAATACGAAGAAGAAGAATAATAATAATAATAATACTAAGAAGAAGAGGAATCATAATAAGAAGAAGAATAATAATAATAAGAAGAAGAAGACGAAGAAGAAGAAGAAGACGAAGAAGAAGAAGAAGAGGAGGAGGAGGAGGAGGAGAAGGAGGGAGGATCGAGGATCGAGGATCGAGGATCGAGGATCGAGGATCGAGGAAGAAGAACAGGGCGCTGGCGCCCCTGCCGCCGCTCCTCACGGCGCGGCGGCACCGACGACGCCCGCTGGGCCTCGATAGCGATATCTCGGACATCGGAGGAGGAAGATCTGCCTACACTGCTACTACTACCTTTCCCTTGGTTCTGCACGAACGAAATGGGCACGGAAAGAATGGGTAATGCTGAACAGCGGCTCTGGTTCATTTTGAACAGGACTCGCTGTCCACGCCGCCGCGGCCTGTGTCCATTCGAGACAGAACGCCGCCTGCCCAACAGCGGCCGCTGTTGGTTTGGGACAACATTTGTTGTTGGCACTGTACCAATTCTTTCCGTACCCATTTCGGGCGTCCAAATTAGTTGCCTCCCAGGGGGCCCTCGCCTCGAAAGGACAAGTATCGGTACCGTTGTTTGGGCTTTCCCAAGGCCTGCTCGTGCCGATTCGTATATGCATAAATGAACACCACACGGCGGGAGGTTTTTGATATTGTTTGGTTTCTTGGGGCCTTCTCTTGGTCTGGGGCCGTCGCACAGTCGCACGCGATGGAAAACCGGTTTGGGGAACAGGGTCGGGATCTCTGGGTGGCCCTTATGGAAGCGTTCAAAGACGTCGCATGTCTGGGTGCGCTCCGACGTCAATATTTGTTCGACATCGAACCGAGATTTCAGGTGAGGGACAGGCACCGATCCGCGGCCTCGATATTCAGGAGGGGAACAAACAGACACAATTGATCGCCGATTCCCAGGAAAACATTCAAACATATGGGAAGGGGGGGGAAGACGAAAAGCCAAAAATATTGGAAAAGATGGGGAATCCTGTTATTTGTGTATTTATTTGTGTGTCCCAGGGCCCCTTCAGATATGAAGAGCCCTCTGTCGCCACGCCTGGGTTCTCTTGGAGGGGCCAGAGCGCATCCTGAGAGAGGTCGTCCCGGGAGTTCCGGTGGCGGAGGCGCCGCCGCTGCGGCCTCCGCGGTATGCGGCGGCGCCGATGGCACGTGCTGAGACCGACATCGACCTCGCATCGACACGAGCGTGTTTCTTTCCTGCTTGGCGCAGGATGGGCATCATGGCCCCCGACCGAGACATTACATTCTACCCCCCCAGCCCCCCCCCCCATAGTGCCCATTCTCGCCGACAAAACAGAAACGCGCTTTGTCGCTTCGAGATTCCCTGACATCCTAGCGTTGCAACTTGCTCACACCTAGCGATTGCGTCCGGATTCGGGGCCTGGGACCATCCCAGATCAATCAGGCTCCAAAAATGCCCCTTCGGGTCAATATATATATATATAATAAAAAAAAAATTAAAAAAAAAATGCCCCTTCGGGTCGTGAGAGAACACGCGACGAACGTTTTTGTTGCTTCTGTGGTGCTGCCTCGGGGCCCTCGCTGGGCACCGACAGAGAACTGTTCGGATAAGCAACGGGTCCCAGGAAATTCGTCGAGACTCCTGGGGGCTGACGTCCCCGCTCGTCGTGCGTCCCTCCCTTCCCCCCGTGCGTCCTTTCCCCCTCCTGTTGTAGCACCGCAGATCTATGCATGCACATCCACAGCCTCGTTCCGCAGCTTGCAGGACGGATGCCGTCAAAGACGGGGTCCCGGTCCATGCCCCGTGCACGTGCCCATGGGCTGCCCCAGCCTACGGCTTGACCTGACCTGACCTGACCTGGGGGCTGACGTGAAAAATCACGGCGTCGGGGGTCTGGAATTCTGGCTATTCGATGCGTCTCGTGATTTTACATGGCGCTGATGTGCGTCGTGTCGCGGCCGATCCGAGTCGAGGTCGACCCCGTGCCATGGCAGCCCGATCTGACGCACAGTCCAATTCGATCCGAGTCACAGATTCTATGGCTGATATTGCCGAGGCACCCCTCGCGGTATGACGAGATATTCGAATAACAAAGACACGGCACAAGCATAATAATCCGTAGCCAAATGTGTTCAAGCCGTTCGGACGCGAGCCAGCCGAAACCACCACATTTGTCGCGCATGGTCAAGCGATGCGCAAGAAATGCAGGATGGATTCTTCAGATTTATAATTTATGTGCAATCCTGCGCCGTGGTTTCAATTGTTGCGCTTTTCTGCAGCATTGAACACGTGCAAGGAAGTTATCTCAAAGGTATGGTTATGCCGTTATGCCAATTGATCTCCTGTTCACACAAGATCGGAAACGAGGCTCCCAGCAACGATGACGTGCAGATCCATTCGCCAGAATACTCTTCGCATCTGGTCGCCGCTATTGCATGGTTTCCCAATGGTTTCCACAATTAGTCGCAATAGTTTTCCAAATGGTCGCATGGAACAATCGGCTTCCAGCAACGATGAGTTGCACCAGCCGTCGCTTGAACCTTCTTCGGATCCAGTGGCTGCTGATGCCAGGATCTACATATTTATTATTGTGCTTATGGCATGCCCCCGACCCCTTGGGGAATGGGCGGTCGTGGCGCGTTGCTTCTGAGGGCCTCTTCGGCACCTTTCGGGGGCTTGTTGGTGCCCTTTTGGGCGCTGCATTGGGGGCCTATGGGCCTATGGGGTGCCTATGGGGGGCCTCTGGGAGCTTCTTGGAGGCCGTCTGTGGGGCTGTGTGGGGGCACTTTTTGTTTGTTGAGGGGCCTTCTTGGAAGCCTCTGGGGCCGTCTGGGGGGATCTTCGGAGCCTCTTGGGCAGTCGTGGAGCGTCGGGAAACCGAAATCGCAAGAATGCTAAAGACGGATTGAAATTGAATGAACGTTGTCTCGTTGGGCCCTCTGGGGAGAGCTTTTGGAGGTCTCTGTGGGCGTCTTGGGCCGTCTGGAGGGCACTTGGCCGTCTTGGAGGAGCTTTTGGGGTCGCTGTTGGGGGGCTCTGTCCTCCCATGATGCGTTGGGGCCAGGCCGGTGGGATCCGGGCGGACCCCCCTCCCTCCAAATCGACCGGACCATGGTCTGGGGGGAGGTGTCGGGGGAGGGGCAAGCATCTCACACGCAGAGGACATTCCAAGGCGGCGGGGGATTTGGGCGCCACGTTCACATTGCAGTGTTTTGTCTGAGAGGGATGGTGCGCCTGCACACACGGGGTAATACTATGCCCCTTGCCGCCGTGTGTAACACCAATGCACGGTGAGGGCGGGACGCCCGAAAATGATCCAGCTCATGTTGAACAATTCATGTTGTTTCTTTAAGTGTCGGGGTGATCGGGATGGTTGGGGTGGTCGTTTTTGTCTCGGGTCGGCCGTCGGTCGAGTGGTCCGGTGTCGATGAAAACGGGGCAGGGGAAAATCGTTTCTTGAAGGTGCAGGAGGGGTTTGAAGACAGGCTCCCCTGACCCACCGACGCGCAGATGTCTGGTGGGATGTTGTTTGCGGGCCTAGTTGTTGGTTTGCTGCTTTCTTGGATCGTCGTTGGGCTACCTCTTGGGTGAGTTCGGCGCTGTCTTGGGCTGTCCTGCGATCTGCTTGGGCCGTCCCTAGCCGTGGGAGAGGTCTCGGAGGCCCCGGGGAGGCGGCTGGGAGCTGCCACCTCTCTGGGCTTCTCCGCCCCCCTCCCCGCCTCTCAAACGGCATTTGTCGGCGGCGAGCGAGCGGGGGAAGTCAGAAGGGGCGCGCCCTCTCAGAAGGCTCGGAAGTCCCCGGGCCTTCTGAGACGTTTTCTAAGCGTTCCCAGAAGACAGAACTTTTCTCGGAAGTCGCGAGGGCTTCTGAGACGTCCCGCCGCCTTCTGAGAAGGCCTTCTCCTTCTCACTTCCCCCCCTCGCTCGCCGCCAAATTTGGATGCGGGCAATTTTTATACCCATATCCAGTGCGTCTTGGACTTTCTTGGGAGGGGCGCCGCAAGGCCGAGGCGCACTGGACATGGATAAAGTCCAGCCTTTTGGGGCCAGGTTTCAATCCATGGCCAGTGCGCATCGTGTCTTTGGCGAAGAGAGCCCGAAACTCCAAGACGCGCTGGATGTGGATATAGACATGGCCCGCATTCTGGACTCGAGGTGGACCCCGCCCCCAAAGACAGAGAGTGTCTGGGGAGGAGGAGGGAGGAAGAGGAGGAGGAGGAGGAGCAGGAGCAGGAGGAGGAGGGGGGGGGACGGGAAGGAGGGGGAGCCGGGCGCAGTAACCTTCCGCCTGCGGCCTCCTCCGGGGAACGGGCGAGGG